CAATCCATCACCCTCACATTGGGCTGCTGTGAAGTGGATCATGAGGTATATGAGTGGCACAAGGAAATTCACACTGAAATATGCAAGAGGAGATGGAGACAACAGCCTGGTGGGATTCACAAATGCAGACTGGGCAGGAGATCTAGATGACAGAAGATCCACCTCAGGGTATGTCTTCATGTATAACCATAACATGGTTAGCTGGTGTTCCAGGAGGCAGCAGATCACTGCGATGTCCTCATGCGAATCTGAATACATTGCAGCTGCAGCAGCAGCGAAAGAGGCCATCTGGCTTAAGACGTTGCTGCAGGACCTCGGGATTCAAATTCCAGCAGTCAAACTCTACTGTGACAATATGTCTGCAATAGCATTGACTCGGGATGCGAGATTTCACTCACACACCAAGCACATTGAGTTGAGGTTTCATTTCATTTGGGATCAAGTCAACAATGGAACAATCAACCTGGAATTCTGTCTGACCAGCTCAATGGTCACTGATATCCTGACGAAGTCCTTGCCTCGAGTGAAGCATGAACTCTTCCTCAAATCACTCCGTTTGACTGACGGTGAGAGCCTTGAGGAGGAGTATGGAGACAAATGATGACAAGTCTCCACGTCAGCAAAGAAAACAAGTCATTCATCCAAGACACTAATCGCCAAGCATCACACCCATACTGTTATGTACATAACCATACCAAAGCAATGAAGTCGACAGAGCATTCCACACACAAAATCACACATCTACAGAAGCAGTGAGCGTGGTGAAAGGAATGCTGCTCCTGAGTGTCATGGTGGAAGACAGTGCCCCTCAGCCTGGAAGTGGCAGAAGGTGAAGATTGGAAAGATGGCATTTCAAGCACTGGGAGCACTAGAGGTGGAGGTAGAGAAGGATGAAGTTGGATATGCTGGAGCTGAGATGTGGGAAGAACATGCACAAGAAATAAGAAGAGCTTGTTCTTGGCAAGTTAGTATCTCCTTCCAATTTTTCCAAAACGCTGAAGGCAGCAGCACAGGAGAAGCTACAAGCCGAGTGCTGTGATTCTGGGAGCGCTCAAGGCATGTTGTAGCGCCAGCAATCCAGTTTAGAACGGTCACCAACCTTTACGTGGTGAGTGGTCTGGTTCATAAGGCAGCATGGCGGGTTTGCATGATCCAAGTGACGTGGAACTTGCCGATTCAAGGCTATACCAACAATGGGGAAATTCTGAGAACTTTGGGCATCTTATCAATGGTTCTTCTATGATCCCGGTCGTTTGTGCTCAAGGGGTGTAGCAAGTTGGCGGTGGAACAAGATGGAAGGCTGATCGATGGAAAGCTTGTTAAGGTTGTTTCTTGCTGGTGGAGAGGATTTCGATCAGATTTATCATTGAATATAGTATAGACTTTGATCGAGTCATGTCCATTGCTCCACATGTCTCTTCGACTCTCTTGCTACTCCACAGGCCCTTCCACTCTCTTGCTAGTAGTACATGCGGAACCTGTAGAAAACCTCCTGCTGTTACAAATGTCACAGGACGGTGTTGGCTTCCATAAACTACACTGTTTACCAGAATTATGACGACACGGAGGCATGTCAGAAGTGTCAGGAGCGTCATCGCTTCAAGGCCCTGGTGGTTGTAGGAGGATTCAGCTGGAGAAAGAAGAAGATTGGCATTAGAACTCGAATTCTTATCTACAGATAGGGATAGTTGATGTAGGGAACCTGGAAGATCGTGACAACAGTTGTCGATTCCCGCTACTCCTATTTTGTCTTGGGTTGAGATGATGGATGTTACAAGCAACTAGCCTTAGTGGCGCTCGAAGAGAAAAAGGCTGTCGTGCCAAAAACAGTTAATAAGAAACAACATAAAGACAACACTCACTGTTACGAAGAAAGACCCGCGGAATTGCAGTCTACTCTAAGTTCTGTTCTATAGCTCGTTCAAATTCTACACAGGAAGTAAGAAGATTAGAAAAGGAAGAACATACATTACAAAACCACAACACTTACCAGCTATTGTCGAGGTGACCCTGAGCTCCCAAGTTGCAAATATCTCTCGCAGCTGTTCAATTGCTTGGGTGGTGACAAGAGTTCGCGGCTTTATCCACGTGATGGTAACAGTGGCATCCACGCCATCCATGATTCCTTCAAGAATGTGTTCAGAGAACATGTGCATGAGCAAGAATTCCACGTCACGGTTCACTTCTTTCTGTAACAAAGTCAATTAATATGTTCCACAGCTAGGAACAAACACAAAGTTTTAAGACTTGAACATCATACTTCGTGATTAGACACCTCAGTTTCATTACTTCAAACTTGAATCGTGGAAAACTTTCAAAGTAAACGGCTGGAAAGATCTTTTCCGTGTAAAGCTTGACATTGGCAGTGTTGAACGTGGTGAGTTGACAACGTCGTTTTTCTCCCTGAATAATTCATGATAAATGGTACTGTTCAAAACCAACTTAAACCTTACCAGATCCGCTTGGCAGGTTAGGAGGTCACCAAAGTCACAGCAAGTGAAAATAGCAGCGAATACCATTTCATCCAAGATAAGCTCACTACAAGATATGAACTTCATTACGGAGATGCTGGCTGGAGAATTACTGATGGTGCTGTACTTCGTACATGACTCACACACAGAGTAACAATATGTAGTCGTAGGTAGATACCTCTCTGGTGTCTTTATAAGCTGCTCGCAAACATGCCAGGATTGATAACCCGTGGTGGTAGAGAACTTTCATGTCCTCGGTATACCTGAAGTATTCGTAGAGCTGTTACTGTAGAGCGTCTCTGAATGACGGATGCAACGATGTTCTGTCCAACGTGTTTTCAATGTCTTCCAGATGCATTCGACACTCGCTTTTGCGCAGCCACGAATAGTTTTCCCAACAGAACGGCTTCTATAGGAAGACCAAGCTTTTGCAGTGCTTCCGTGTAGTCTAGATGCCACTCTCGAATGAGTGGATTCACCACCAGCGTCTGCCATTTCTGAACAAAAAAAAAAGTGAAATGAACCTTTCCTGGGATGATCTTAATCCACGGTTGAAGAAGACCATGCCTCTTCTTCCAATCTCGAAGAAGTACAATAAACATTCCACTACCCTTCAGAGCAGAAAGTTTTTTGCAATAGCTTGTCGGGTCCTTGGGAAGGCCATAGGAAATAACAGCATTTACACCATCTGGAATGGTGTCTAATTTGCACCCGTCCGCCAATATGATGAACCTGGCTGTTGGCTGTTGGTAGCTGAGCCAAACCTGAGCTGGCTGCCCTGTTTTTGCTTCCACAATATCTCCCACGGTTTTGAGCTGCGACGAAGTATCAGACCAATAAATCAGGCACCTTGTGAGACCCGGAAACAGAACACCAATGTTCTCTACAACGCGTCCGAAGTTTCGAAGCTTTCCGACCAGCACGTACTGAATGACATTCTTGGGAAACATATACTGTAACGTACGAGGTTTAAATGACGCGCTACAATAACTTTTTTAAATAGTAAGCCATATACTTTGTCACCATTCTCTTCGAGAGTATCACCGAGAGAATTGCACTGCGGCTGGCCTGAACGCTCACACCCTTGCATCGCCTGTGCCAACTAACGGGGTTACAACGACATATCTTGGTTGATGGAAGTACACTTACGTCGTGGTCCGTGTTTGCTTCATTATGAACTTGACAAACTCCAGTAACGATTTGGTTATCATGCGTACTTGTGCTTTTGTCGCAGGACTGAAAGATGGAGCTTGCGAGCAGCGTCGGATGTCCTTGTAGCTACCAGAAGCCAAACAAGTATGTAATGTCACAGAACACTCCCATGTAGCTCTTGGTGTGGCGCCTCATTGTTGGAAGCTTTGCAAGAATTGCACTGCGGCTGGCTTGAAAGTCCAGATCCTTGCATCACCTGTGCCAACGAACAGGGTCACCACGACATATCTAACTTGATGGAACTACCTGTACTGCAGGACTGAAAGAGCGGCGTCGGATGTCCTGGACACTACCAGAAGCAAAAGAATATATATACAAAGCTATCTCACAGAAAAATTTCACGTGCCTCTTGGCTTGGCGCCTCGTTGTTGATCTTCTGATCCTAGAAACAGTGGCAATGGCCCATAATATCGTGTCTCGATCATCGCACAGCACAGCTTTACCTTGTTATCCATCGCAAGATCTGCTATGTGTCTCTCCGGCTGCAAAGCCACACTGAGGCTCGAGAATCATCGCAGAAACGAAGTCCTACATTTCAATCCGATGCACAGCGCCAGCGGCAACCTGCGATCTAGCAGCGGGCCGCAAGCGGCAATGCGCAAACAGCAGCGGTCGCAGGCGGCAAGGCGCAATCCACCAGCAGCGACGAACCCTAGCTCCTGGCAAATGAAATGTGGCTACAAGTAGTCGCTCCTTACTCCTTGCCGCGAGCTCCATTTGAATGTATCCGACGTGGCGGAACCAAGGTTTTAGCTTTGAGCTCGGGCGAGATTCGAACCGGGGATGGCTGTGAGCACGCTCGCTCACGACCCCTTCCCCACAAGCCCTAGGGCTGACAGAATATCTGTTTGTGCGGCAAGTCAGAATATGCTCGTTTCGTTTCTCGGTGGAGAAGGAGCTCGCAAATTTGAGGCAAAATTTCCATCGAGCGATGTCTGGAATGGAACTGGATGCATGAATTTCTTGCGATTGCTTTCCTTGTTCCTGGAGCTCTTTGCTGCCTTTGTTCTCACAGATGTGTGGAGATGTGGTGGTGGACATGGGGCAAGGCAATGCTCACAGAAGAAACCAAGCCTTACTATTTCTCCTCCAAGAGGTAGCGGTAGCTTCCGCTCCCTCGAATTTTTTCTTCTTGCTTTCTTGTGTGGTTATTCCTTCTCTAAGCGGCTGGCTGGCTGGCTGGCTGGCTGGCCATCTTTTTGATCCTCTTGTTGGATTGCTGGTTTCTTCCAGGGGGCCATTTCGAAAGCGATGGAGGCGACGGCGGACCCAGCAGCAATGGGAGGAATGTTTCGGGGATGAAGGCCGCATCTCGAATAACAGCACCGAAAAGCTCATTCACAAAGTTCGCTGGGGGGTGAGTTCTTTCTTTGTTTTACCAGTTTTTCCAGTGTTCTAGACTTGTCTCAAGGATGAACTGTGATGTGCGTCGTGACAGTGCATAGAGCGGAATTCGAGCTCAAGTGTGGCCATTATGTGAGTGTTAGAAAACCTTTCATACGTTCAAACTTTCAAACTTTTTCATACCTTCTATCAGATACGAGGTTGAGAGGTTGATAGCACCGAGGCAGAAAGAAAGGTAACGAGCAAGTTTCCGAAGGTCCCATACGCACTAAAAACTAAACTTTGCTTGGAAACTCGCCTGCAGGAAGGAATACGAAAATCACTCACGTCCAGAAGAGAAGGAGAGCATGGCATGGAAGAACAAGCAGAAGAAGAAGAACACAAACTCATGCCATTCTCCGAGAGCCAGATCGAAGCATTCAGCAGCATCGACGACAGCAGCGCGTTCTGGAAGAAAGGACCCTAGGCAGTGGGCGACATAGTTACCTGGCAGAGGATCATCCGCCTGGACGCCGTCCGGATGAACGCCGAGTGGGTTCCATAGACTAACGTGAGCGACGAGGAGACGTTCCAAAGTAGCCCGCAACGCCGCCAGGCTCGTCTCCATCCTCGAGGCCTACGCGCTCTACGATCCGGACACGGGCTACTGCCAGGGATGAGTGACTTGCTCTCGCCGTTCGTGGCGTTCATGGACAACGGCGCGGCACAGCTTCCGGCTGGGCATCCTGCGGCAGCTAAACGGGACCTCGGATATCATCAAGGTGGCGGGCCTGAGCACCTGGTGCCTCCGTGCTGTTCCGGTGACGTTCGAGCAGACGATATACCTGTGGGAGGTGATATCGGCCGAGTCCCGGAAGAAGAAGAAGAATTTCTCGGGCTGCTGGCTCACAGACGAAGTAGCTATGAGTTTTGGAGAGACGCGGCTACGCCTGTCGCCGACGCTGCCGGGGCGCTTGTCCGGGGCGACCTCGGCGTTTGGTCACGTAAAGCTCATTTCTTGGGGGGTAATGCTATATAAAAAGAACTACGTAGGGCAAGGTTTTGTGGGCATGGCACCAAAGGGCTCAGGAAAGCGAGACAAGGTTCGTGTCATGGCGCCAACGTGGGCACCGGTAAAAGGCGCAGGCGGGCGATGTGGACAAGCCATATGGGCAGTTGCTCGGGACTGGCCACTGCTACTGCCAAAGGGATCAGTGGCAGAGGCTAGAGGGAATAAGGTTGAAAAGGCCATGGATTTGGGTAATATGGGTGTGAAGCTCAAGAACGAGAGTGAAGAGAGTGAGAGCGAGAGTGAACAGAGTGAGAGCGAGAGTTCTAGCGACGAGGACATTGACGAGGATGCCAAACTCCTCAAGGAGCTTGACAGATTGCATGCCGAAAAGGAGCACACAGAGGAGCACAAAGAGGAGAAAACAGAGGAGCAATCAGTGCCAAGTATCCCTTTGATACTTATGCCCAAACACTGTGGCAAAGATTTAGCCACAGGGTATAAATTGTGTAAATAAATAGCCTTTTCGAACCTAATGGGAACACTGCTGGTTTACGACTATTCACTAAAATTCTCCAACCCAACTCACTTAACAATGTGACAACTTTTTTTTTATACTAGGACTTGCTCCAGGTCACTCTAGCTCACTAAAGACTTCCTCAAGACTTCCAGCACACTTTTGGATCATTGTGTTTTTACAGTTCATCAAGAACAACTCCAAGATTCCATTTGTTGGTCTCATGATAAAGTTGTCATTGTCAATATCACTAGCCAAGTGTTGGGCATTCAACAATATTGAGGGTTATATGTTAGTGAAGAGGCATTTCTTTTGAATTGGGATGAAGTCAAACATTGAGAAATATATACAACATATATGTGGTTGTTTGACTTATTAGGCAATTGAAGTATCATTTGCATCTTCTTTTGCCTCTATAACAATAGTTTTTGTATAGTGATGTTATCTCATTTTCGTATTATTTTAACGTAGTCATCCAACTTTGTCAAATACTAGTTTTTGTTAACTTTGGACTAACATTGGGTGTTAAAGTAAATTTACAACATGATTTGCTTATAACTGATTACAAGGTATATTATGGATGAATTTCTGTGTGCTAAAGCTCTTTTTTGGTACCACACGAAAACAAGTAAAAGAAGAATAAAAAAAGGAAGAAAAAAGTAAATGCAACTAAATTAATTAAACCTAAGCACCCTACCTAACAACTTAGTTACTGTAGTGCAAGGTGCTACCTTAAAAACATCTCAGTCATTGGTGCCTTCAAGGTTGTAAAAGACCTTGACTAGCTTTTGTCGTTTAAACCATTGTGATTTGATTTTATCATAGACAAAAGACATATTTGTTGGAATTTGAATCTATGCATTATAATTGTTAGTGGAGGTGAAAGTTCTAAACATGTTTGAAATCATTAGCGACATATAATATTTTATGCTTTGTTCATTTAAGTCAACTAAAGAAATAATTGCAGCAACACTACAAAATGAGGCCTCAGTGGTGGGAACTCACAAACCAAGGAAGAGGTGATTAACATATCTATGAGACCTTCTATAGAACTTTGGGTTTTTCATTTAACATTGAAATGTTACACATAAAACCACTTACTACGTAAGAATAAATTGCCAAGAAATCTATAGTATGTTGGGAGAGAAAATTAGTGGGAGAGAGAAGTGGTTCCAAAGTGAACATCACCAATGTCTGTAAAGTCAATGTTAAGGAAAGATAAGGATCCAATCTTAAATGGTTTGTTGCGAAACTTGTAATAAGTTTCATAGTAGAAGTTGTTGACTACTACATAAAAACTATAAGTCCACAATACAATCCATCAAGCAATGGCCACTAGATTCAAAGAGGCCATCGGTAATCACACTCCATAAATTATTTTGTAAGATATCACAAATTTAATGTTTAGCTGTGAAAAAACTAATGAGAAATGAGAATATAAAGTAAATCAAGATTGACTACCTATGAGTAGCTGTAGAAGTAGATGTACTTGGAGTGGCAGATGTTTAGCTAAGTTGAATAAAAGGAAAGTTTGTTTTACTCCCATACAATTCTTGTGCTACAGAATGCCATCCTATTATATGGTAAGTATGTAAACAAATTTAACATACCTATGAAAACATATAATAGGTGTTTATAGTTAAAAGAAGCATTAAAAGGCAAATAAAATGATAGAACATACCACTAATGTTATATGCACTACTAATATTTACATCTACTGCAGTTTTATGTTTTTTATAAAATAAATTATATGATAGATAAAAACTATTAGATACCAACAATGTCGTCCATCATTGGCTGGTGATACAAGGAAGACACTCTCAAGCCAAGGTTATTCTTGTTGACTTTGTTCTCAACCAAGGCTTTTAGAAGTAAATTTGATCCTATTGGATATATAGTAAGGCAAAGCAAGTATCTATAAAAACTTTGTAACATTGTGTTAACAGTACATCAAAAGATATTAAGCAAGTGTTTAAACATCTTATAATGTAGTTGAAGATATAGTAATTTAATGGGGAGCACAATAGCATTCCTAGTATTTAATATGTCCTTTGTTTGCTTCTATTATAACAATGTAATGGTAGAGATGCAAACTCTAATAGCACACTTGACAATAGTGGTATACACTATTATTATGTTTATTTTGATAATTTTTGACTGTCTATGACTAACATTGATATTATTTTCAATAAATCCTTCTTCAAGATGAGCAAGTGTGTTTAGAAGCTGTGTAATTACTATAATATTATGTAGAATTAGATAAAGCTTTTATTTTAAAAGATCAAGAACATATTAGTTGTAGATTTAAAAACTTACTATAGACATTCCTGATATGACATATAGGATTGTCTATTTTTTGAATGTGTGACAAAGTAGAGAGATAGTTAATTGTATTGCTGCTTGAGGACAAAAGTGTGCAATCAATTCTTGGAGCATGAATAAAAAGACAAGGAATATTTAATGCACACACAATCAACTTATAATGTGGAGCCAATACATGTGTAAATTGTGACACATTGCATGGAAGTACCAGAATAAATTATATAGCTTGTCTATAGGGTATAAAATGGTATTTGTAGAAATATAATATTATAAAAATACAACTAATAAATCTATATTTTACACTAAAACAATGATGTTAAAAAAAAAAACACACGACACCACTACATAAAATATGCAATGCTATATTTGAAAGTGTGAAAACCTTTCACCCTTTCAATTGTGTTTTTGTTTTTGCCAACCACTTCTTCATGGAATGAAGTCCACCTTATATACCTTGTGGCAATCATAAGCACACCATCCATTGCCTGCCTAATATGGGAGTTTGGGTTCTAAAGTTTATTGTGAGATTCTCCTTGATATGAAGTCCACCTTTTATGCCTAATGGCAATCATGAGCACACCATCCATTGCCTGCCCAATATAAGAGTTTGGGTTATAGAGTTTATTTTGAGGTTCTCCTCTCCCACATCACATCAAAGGGAGTGAGAGCTTGATTCCTCAGCAAAAATGGTACTCCCTTGTAACCATGTCCAAGCCAAGTCTATGCAAAGAGTTTTAAGAAAATCTCCCAACATTGCAAAATGAATAAACCTCACCTACTTTTGTGTTGGGGAGAAAATTTTCCTGAGAGATGGCTCTTAGTATTGAATTGTGATCAGCCATTGAGATCCACAAGAGGAAATTATGCTAGGTAGTAAATGATCTTGATTCCTAAGATAAAAATCTCCAAACTGCTATGATTGAAGGTCAAGATCACTTATGGTTAAGTATGGAATTAAAATTAGTTCTCCCCTATTGAATTCCCTACTCTTACAAGAAGTGTTCTGTGTCAATGAGAAGAGCCACTCAAAAACATAAATGGCTAAACACATCAGCTCACTCACTTCTGATCTATCAACTTGCTGCTCATGCTAGTTAAGAGCTAAGTAAGCAATAAAGCCCTACACTGCACATATGGTACAATTGTCAATTCCCCTTCTTCCCTCCCGACTGCTGTACCCACCATTAATTAGGGGTTAAAACATCCATCTGATTTTTCTTGAAACCATGTCTTCTGAGGCTATCCCACACTTACAGCTGTAGGAGGCTGGGGTCTTTGTTTTTATTAGAATAAATTATTTTCAGCCAATTATTGTAAGCACTTATCAATCTTATTTGTCTTTATTTAATCTCATTAGATTATAAATTAATTAGAGAAAAATTGTAAACAAAAAGTCCAAGAATCCCTTA